AAGAAAATAAGAATAATCTATCTAACTACAAGCAACAGCACAAATAAATACAATAGAGTAAAGATACAAATAAAATTTTCAGGTTCTTTTAGGTAGGTCTAACATTAGTTTTTAGGTACAGAAATTGAATAAAGTAATGAAATGTAAAACGGCATCGCATATTTGACTGTATAAATGAAAGATTAATCATTATTAAAGTTATACAACTTTTCAATCAAGAGCAGTGAGTGATTTCTTTGTTGTTGCTGTTTGATTAATATTAAGAAAGTGCTGTCACTTTAAGAGAATGCACTGATCCAGTGCATTGATCCAGTACGGAGGCTATTTACACTAACTCCGCCCATCAACGTGTGATTACAAAGCATTACAAAAGACAATCGTTTAATAAATAACAGCTCGGCGCAGATGGTAAAGTACGTGTTGAAGTCGTTTTTGACGCAATCGACCGGGGTTCGAATCGCGTTTTGTCGAACTTTTTTTTTTCTACTTTTTCAAATCAGATATCACGTCGTTGTTATTGTTATTATTGCATACTGTTTTGCTTAATATTTGCGCGCGTTCTGAGGTGCGGATTTGTGCGCTTCGGGTGAGCACATGCACAAATCTTCTGACTGCGCGCGCGAGCTCGCGTCCTCTGGCTCTTAAATGTTTAAACTGGCAAAGCTTAAATGAGTTTAGTTTAAACACAGATATCAACGTGTGCTGTTCAGGTCTCACCTGTGCGCGCACGCTATCAGCACAATGACAGAATAAATAACTCATGGAGAACCGTACGGTTCGATTTTTTTCCGCGAACCGTTCCACCCCTAATATATATATATATATATATATATAGTATATAGTATATATAACTGCCTCCTCATTTTAAAACACCACCGCACGCCACTGTAATCTTTATATTGAGCTATATCTAACTGTTAAAAAAAGACTTTAAAAAAAGTAGACCTGATAAATTTGTAATTAAAGGAATAGTCTTTTTTTTTAAATCATTTGGTGTATCTCTAAAATGATATCTTATTTTGATACTCAGAAGTTTAGTGTCCCAACTGTGACCTCAATGTTGCTGTTTTTGTCTTTCATTCTTTTCAGAACCTCAAAAAGCCCAACCCATTTCTATTGTAATACCACAAATGCAAGAACAGATAACATCATGGAAAAACCCTGTGAATTGCACTGTCAGCATCGTATCACATTCTTTCCACCATTATTTTCTTCATCGTCAACCCTGCACAAATGTAATATACAGTGGTTGATAAGATATCCAGTTGTAGTTTATAATAGCACTTCATCATATATGTTTTCCTTTTAATAAGCTAATCGACTACCCAAGCGCTATGCAAGCACTTGAATACTAAGCAAACGGTGCACCTGCGTTGCTTGAAAAGAGTGTGTGTGAGTGTGTCAGGTTTCCCCAGCCGCTCAGCGGGGTTTGGTTCATGCCCATCAGCACGCTCAGCCAGGCTGCATGGCACTTCCTCAGCCAAACATTTTCTGCATGACCGACTCTAAGCGGATAACTGCGCAGCAGGAATGTGTGGGCACGTTGCCTTATTTCATTGCACAATAAGTGGCCCAGTCTGGGATTACGATGAAGAAAACACGACCACTGGATTGCGTGCGCTTCCAAGAGTCTGC